CAAGTACCTACTGGAAGGACACCCTTCCGGTCGACAAGGTACAAGTACCTCGTCGACTGGAAGGACACCCTTCCGGTCAACAAGGTACTTGTACCTCGCCGGCTGGAAGGAAGCCCTTCCGGTCGACGAGGTACAAGTACCTCGCCGGCTGGAAGGAAGCCCTTCCGGTCGACGAGGTACAAGTACCTCGCCGGCTGGAAGGCAGCCCTTCCAGCCGGCCCTTTAGAGGGCGGGTATCCAAGGATACCCGCTCGGATACCCGCTGCGGCCGACGGATACCCGACAGCGGGTGCGGATGGGGATTCGGATGCTCAGATGGCCGGAAAAAGCAGCCGGATATCCGCATCCGCGCGGATATCCGGATGCCAATCGACCATCTCTATCGAAGGATGTCTATAGAAAACTTCAAAAACTGAATTTTTTATCCTTGCTCGGACAAACTTCAGCCCCCTTAGGTACCAAGGTATTGGGACAAGGTAGCTAATCTCTGGCTTCTGTACGTTCTTGCTACTTTCAAAACCTCAGTGTATCGGTTGTTCTAGAGGGATCCACGTGCTGCAATCAATATGTTGGAGATGAATTGAGTTTGTCGAATGATATAGAGAAAAAATTGATTGTCTGCCCTACGCTGGGTGATATAAGATGAAAAAAAAACTTGCCCTATGCTAGGCTAGATATGAACAAAAAGGTGTTTATTCGAGATGAGGGCTCATGACCTGATGTAGTTTGTGATGAATGAATGAATGAATTCTCCAAACTTGCTCAGTCGAGCTGTCTCCACTAGTGTCTAGTGAGTCGGATGGTAACCCAGTAACTGGGTCACAACAATAACCAATGGGAACTTTGCACAGTGATTGCATCAAGAAAATGAGTGAGTACAAAAATTAAAAGGCAAGGAAATCACTTTTATGCAAAATAAATATTACCATTAAATTCTACACCATTCAAAGTGTAGGAATCAAATTTACAGAGTCAAAAAAGAATGAAAAACAAGCCGTTAACAATTGATTGAAAACATGAGTGAGCAAAAAAAAAATAAAAGTCATTTTTATGATAATCGGACTTTGCCATAAAATTCTACACCTTTCAAAAGTGTAGGAAACAATTTTAAAAATTCAAAAAAACCCAAACAATCAGCAGAACAAAATTAATTCAAAAACCAAGTGTAAACACGGAATCCGTGTGTGCTGCGCGCGGCAGAAACCGGGTGTATGTAAACTGGGAAAAATTGGGTTTTTTTATTAAGGCCCTATATATATCTCTTATTTTTCACAAATTTTGCAACTTTGTTTTTTGTTTTTATTTTTTCACATTCATTCTGGAGACCTATTCTGCAATTCTCGCCACTTGACCAAGTCTCATGACTTCAATTTAGATGATGTTTTTGGAGCACTGGAATCCAAAACAAGCCGCCTCGTTTCAGCACTATCTACCCACTGTACATACTGTAGCCAGAAAGATGATCATGACCTGATTTGACAGTCCAATCAAGCTGCAAGAAAGTGAGCATGCTCGGCTCAGCTTGCCAGAAGAAATTAGCTTGCTCATCAAAATCATATCAGCAAAAAGGTCCGGGAATAGCAATCTCATTGATATATTGGTCATTCATGGATCCTCAGGCCAAGGTGGAAGTTGATTGTGAACACATAAATCTGGAGCTTGAACTGCAGTACAGCAACAGATTTGCTTATTTTTGACAGGCACATCTGTCAAGGAGAATTGATGGTGGTGAGGATGAGATAAACATGACGATCAGACAGATCTATTTATGTACCTTGGTTTGACTTACTGGGAATCGATTACTTGAAACTAGACAATTATGTAATTAAGCATGGGCAACTTTAAAACCAAAAACAATTTTTAGAATTGGAAAGAAAATGGAGAATTAAATGGAACAAGAAGAAGAAAAAAAAAAAAACGAGCTGATCAAGACAAGCACAACACAACTAAAACAGAGCAGTTTCTGGTTATTACATCGGAGTGTCATTGGATGTAGCAGGGAACACACATACATACCTCAACATATATATATATATATATTTATACTTCTTCTTTTTTTTGTAGCAAGGGTAGATATTAGGGGATTTGCATGAAACAAAAGCAACACAAACAAAGCCGGAGGGATGATGATGATGAACGGCCGTAAAGAAAAAAAAAGAATATTCAAGGATTAACAAGGTTGAGAGGATGATTATTATGTGAGGAGGATTTCGAGCGATTCAGAATGTGCAGGGTGAGAAAAAGCTGCGAAAGGTTGGTGAGGACTACAGTACGAAAAGTATCTTAGGTCAAACCATAACGTTAGAGATAAACAAAAAAAAGGAGGGTCAAAGCTTGTTATAAGATCATCGGGAAAAAAAAACGTGAAGTCTCGGAGCGAAAAAGAGTCTTCGGGTGTTTGTGGGATATACTATTACTATTAGTGAAGACCGATTGACGGGGCTCTTCAAGTTCTCCTTTCTTCAGGATTGACCGGTCTAGAAACGAGCCCGGGGGAGAAAACGAGATCCAAATCGTCAATGTTGTGATGTCCCCAAAGATCATTGGATAGCGTGAGCAGAAGAAGGAGCAACGAACCTGATCCAAAGCTTGCCCGGCCTACTTTTTTCTCGCATGATTCGCCATGGAGTTGCTTTTTTCTATAAAAAAAAATATGAATTGGTTGATCAGAGAGAGAGATCTGTGTGCATCTGTCGAGGCGGCTTGAGACTTACGGTGCCATCACTATGAACACAGCATCTCCTGAGCAAGTCGTTAGCGTGCTCGCTCGTACCCTCGACTTCGATCACCACGTAGCCCTGCCATTGTCCATGAGGGATCTTGATGACCGATCGGTAGACCCATCTCTGGACGCGGTATCGTGCTTGAGGGGAAGCCACTTCGATCTTGTCTTCGCTCAATCGCAAAGTCTTCTTAATCTCTTCTTTGAAACTGGATAGGTCTAGATAAAATATAGGCGACGAAGTCGAACTAGAGATAATCTTGTGGAAGTATGATGGTGGGAATTCTAACATGTTTAGCCATGACTTTGGGTGTCAAAAAAAAAAAAAGCGACATCGTCTGGGTGTCAGTCAGGTACGCCGTGTTGGAGAAAAGAGAGCTAAATGGAAATGGAGGAGGGAGTTAGAATGGTCGTACCGGTAGATGCCCAACATCATCGAATTCGAACAACAGATCTCTCAGGAATCTGCCATCGAACAGCAGTTTGCCTTCATTGCCGAAATCCCCGATTGCTAAGTTCCAACACACATCCCCTTTCTTGAGGTACGACCAGACTTGAGATCTGGGTGGGTTAAATGAGGTTGGAAGAGGAAGAAAAGCTTGTCAGATGAATACGATTGCTAATCAAGGGGGGAAGGAATCTATTCTTCGCACCTCCAAAGCTCCCGTTCGCATTCCGCAAGTTCTTCGTTGGACATCAATGGTCCGCGCAAGGCACCCAAACCTTGAATAGAGCAGCCTTGCCTGACCGATAAACAGGTTCCTCAGATCGTCCGACGTGTCGATACATCGCTGGGACTGGGTCGAGCTCCTCGACAGCTCTGATGTAAGCAACCAGCTTGTTGTGCGCCCTGGTAGAGGACCGGATCATCTTGGCGGTACGGTAGTCGAGTCCCTTGGGCTTGAGTGCTTGCTTGGCGAATCCGATCAATTCCAAGGACTCGAACTCCAGGCCAGCATAGAAGTTGGCCAAATCCTTCAAGCCGATCGTCACCAGCTCTCGCTGTCTGTGTCCGATCTTAAAGTGGGGTGACAGACTACGATATCCGAAGCCAGACAAATACCTTTTCAGGATAATTTCTCGCAATCGCGGATCATCTTCAAGTTCCTCTTGGAACTCATGACTGATCTGGCTGAGCGAGAAAAAGTCCAAGTAGTCCAGATGGCAGATAATCTTGCGGAAGATATCAGGGTGGCAGACCAATTGTTCGAATTTGATCTTGGGCTGTGGAGTCGTCTGATCCTCACCCTCGGCCGCCTCGTCCAGGTGATCTGAGACCTCGACGACGTTATCATCGCCCTTCTCAGCCTTGAGCTCGTTCCCTTGTTCATGTACCTCAGACTTTGCCTGAGCCTGCGAGACCGGCTTCTTTTCATCCAGATTCGCTGAGCGATATTTCTCCAGGTTCCGGGCGGGAGGGGAGCTCGAATGAGAGCATGCCGAGGATGGATCGGTGACTGCTCCGGATTGATCAGAACCGCCTTTTCTGTGGCGATCCTTGGTATCAGCTAAACCGTCGACTGATGAGTAGTTGTCACTACTTGAGGAAGAGTGTTGAGAGCACGAATCCAGATAGACCTTCTCGACCGAGCGTTTCCTGGACCTACCACGCTTAGCTGGAGATGGTTTTTCTGGAGCATGTGACAATACTTTAAAATTGAATATCATCATTGGAATCGATCAGTATACCAGCGGGCGGCACAGGGATTGTTTGTGAGAAAATGGGGCTATCTCTACTCACCCGAAGTTGCCGGCATGGGACTGGTGCTAGTGGTGGATGGTTGAACCGAATTAAGAACGGATTCGCTGCGGATAGAGCTTGAATAGCATGGGGATGACCAGGAGGAACGTGTGACGGAAGTGTCAACCGAGATGGGGACTGGTATAGCCGAAGGGACCGCCGTTTCGAGCTTTGGAGCTTGATCATTGTCGGCTGGTGAAGATCCACCAGTCGGGTAAATCACTTCCGGTGTCTTGGGGGTAGTCACATCAGGTTTGCCGACAGGCGATGGAGAGGGCCTGGGCGAGATGGGGGGGCTGCGTTCCGACACGGCATCGTTAACTGATTCTTGCACCAGAGAGGATCGTTCGGAGGCCGGAGTTCGGGCTGAGGCGGGAGATAATCCAGCCGAGTGAGTGTTCAGACGAGCCGATGAGGTCCCCTCACTTGATCGAACTTTGGGGAGCGATATAGAGGGCTTTAGGGCTGGTCGAGCGGTAGCAGTCGCTGCAAGCGGAGACTCATTGGACGATTTCGCTTTTTCTTCCGTGGATGATTGGCTACCCAGGAAGGCAGATAACAGGCTACTAGGCAGTGGGGCTTTTGAGACACTCTGAGGTGCAGCAGGAACGGCCGATTTACTCAAAACTGCGGGGACGTTGGATTTAGCCTGACCCAAGAAAGCGGCAAGGGGAGAATAAGTGGAATTCTGAGGGCTGGCGGTTGGAGCAGCCGGACGAGACGGAGAGGGCGGCAAAGCGGGCCGTGGATCTGACTGAGAATGTATCGTAATGGGAGGCTGTAATCGGCCCGGGACGGCCTGAGCAGCCACAGTGGGGCCTGGTGCCGGGACGGCCTGGGCAGCTACAGTAGTGGGAGCTGGTCCCGGCACGGCCTGTGCGGCTAATACAGTGGAGGCAGGTGTGGGCTGGACTTGGTACCCGGCCAAAACACCAATCAACTTTGCCGACTGCTGCGGCTGGGGAACAGCCGGAGAAAGATGAATGCCACTTCCAGCCGAGCGATGCGAAGGCCCATCTTCATCACTACTCTCAAATCGGTTCGAGATACGAGACCCATTGTAAAATGTCTCTGGACCAGCTTGGCCGCTGGTTGTACCAGATTGCACTTGTGCTTTTATAGGAGGGGCATATGTGCCATCATTCATCATCATCCAGCTAGCTGGTCGGGTAGTGGAGCGAAGAGGTCTAGATGGGATATCAGACATTAGGGGAGTCGGCGAAGGATCGCGATGGAGAGACTCGTTGTGAGTTCCAAGCTTTTTCAAATCAAATTGCTGACTGAAGAGTATGGAGGACCTGAGGTTGCGAACTGGTATTTCGAGTTGAAATGCAGAATTGGTTGAAGGAGGTTCAGAGGGGAGGTTCTGTTGGCCAAGTGAAGGAAACTGTATGACGCCAGAGTTATCTGGGCGCACATGGTTAACCGCTGGTCGAGAAGTAGAGCGTTTGGTTGAGGCCTTGAAGGAAAAAAAGGATTTGCGGGGCCGGTCGGGTGTATCCTCACTGGCAGGTGAGGCCAAAGTTGGACCAGTTGCCTTATCATTGGAGGTGGCAGAGGCAGCCGGTCGTTTGGTGAATTGTTTTTTGGATGGCTTGAAGGACATCGTGGGATCTGTGCTGCAACGAGTTAATCGGCAGAGGAAGTCTAAATAAGCGAGAAAGAGTCTGAGAGGGAGTACTGTAAAGGCAGTGGTTGAAAATCAGAGGATGGCGAGGAATTCAGAGATGCGAATGTTATGGACGGTGGTTTATTGCTCCATCCGACGAGGAAAGTTAGATGTAGAATTTTGCAGTCGTAAATAGGCTCGTTAGTCCAAGTACGTAGCAGGCCAGAAGGATGGTTGATAAATGCGGATGGATGCCTATGTAGTGAAGAAACTCGAATTCCAGTGGTACGTATTGATGTTCTAACAAGAGCTGAACAAAGCAAAAGGCATGATCAGCATCAGTCCTTCTGGAGTGAGAATAACTCCGATGGATGGACGCCAGCAAGAATTAATATTGGGCGACTGATGAGACATTGTGAAATATTGCTTCTCTTCTCAAAGATGCAATAACGATAACGCCATGTTGGGTGGCAGGAAGACTGGCAGATGACAAGCGAGACAGGTGTGGACCTACATGCAATTGTTATGTTAAATTGGTTTTTTTTTTGGGACGGGAGCCAAAAGCACACGGGATAAGCCTTGCGAGTGAGTGAGTTATGTTCTTGTCGAGTTATCAAGACCTGTGCAGGAGTGAGATGGCGAGGAGAGTTAGAGCTGATTGGGGCCTTCAACTGATGAGATATGGGGACTATCCAGATGTAAGCTGGCCTGGGGGTGTATGTATTTACCAGAAAGAAAAAAAGGTTCTTCCAGGCGAGGCTAGTGGGAAGTTAGGATATGTACACGTTATGTATGCTTTTATTATTTATGTAAAGGGTGCAGCAAGATGGGTCGTGATGAGTTGAAGGATAGCGTGACTGGAATGATGAATCTGGTTAATTATTATAATCTGAACCCAAGGACTTGTTCAGGAATTAAGGACAGCGTCAAAGTGTACAAGAACGAAAATAGTGATCGCTAGGCTTCGGCAATAAAAAAAAAAAAACAACAGCCGTATGTAATGATGATAGCCTTTACCAGAGTAGGCAAGGCAACATAAGCACTTGCGTCGAGCTCGGAGGAGAGGGTGTTGTGGGCGAGGTTGACGGTCGCGCTCCTTGGGCCCAGCTGAGCTTTGCTTGCTCTGTTGGTGCTGCAGATGGGATAATGATTGTACTGATTTGGATAAGCCGAAGATTGGCCGTATTTATGTATTATCAGGGTGATCTGATGTGATTTAAATTCGGGAAAGACCGCCGTTGGACACCAACTCTGGCGGTAGCTGGTTTCCCTGCTTCTTGGCGGCAGGTTTCTTCTACGCGCAGATGAACAGCTCGAAAATTATAAATCGTACCTGAGGTGCCGGCAGGCTGGGGGCTGGGCCTGTCTGGGCAAGCCTGGGCAATTCCGGAGGAGGTGCAAGGCTTGATGATCCAAAAGTTAATCTCGCTTGGAGTCTTGGTGCAGCACTCTCTTTGTACATATTTACAATTTATTGATTGATTGATTTTGCATGCATGGCTCGTGAAGCCGGTCAGTTGATGCCGGCGCTGTCTATGCTGATCGAAGTAACTGGAGCATATGTTGATGGAGAATGAAAAGTGGGTTGCACTAACGATTTACGAGGGAGGCAGGATGACTGCATCTGTTGTATCTGATGAAATTTCCTAACACCTTCACCAAAGCTTTCTACAATACTCTTGATGAATGGAGGAGTGAAGATACGCAGGTACATAAGTGTGGAAAGCGCACCGCGTGTGGCAATCGTACAAAACCCAAGTTCTTTGTCCGCAATCGAGCTGAGTGCCAGTAGATTTCACCCGAGGCAGCATGCTGTTGTATGTATGCTCGTGGAAATGCGACAAGTACTGAGTCATCTAGGTTTTAGAGAGAGAGAGATATATATGTTTGTGGGTAGAAGTACAGTTAGGCCATAAAAAGGGGTTTGTGCATCTTTCAACAGAGTTGGATGGAAAGGAAGTGTGGTGATGATGATGATGATGATGATGTCAAACTAGCTGCATGCGGAAAAGATGATAGGCGACCCTACCTCTGAGT